CTACAAGAATGGTTATCGTATGAATAAGAAACATATGGTACTGACTTACAGCACGTACACGGTACGACATGCCGTAACATTGAAATGGCTTCCTATAAGAATGGTTATCGTATGAGAGGGAAACGTACGGTACTGACTTACAGTACATACACTGTACGACAAGCCGTAACATTGAAATCGCTTCCTATAAGAATGGTTATCGTATGAGTGGGAAACATACGGTACTGACTTACAGCACGTACACGGTGCGACATGCCGTAACATTGAAATGGCTTCCTATAAGAATGGTTATCGTATGAGTGGGAAATATACAATACTGATTACAGCACGTAATGGTGACATTGAAATGGCTTCCAAAGCGTATTCCAGTAGTTTATCCAATCACRAGGCGTAGTTACATCGGTACATATGGTACGCCTACAATATGGCTACAAATTTGCTGTATCGTTTCCCACTCATACGAAAACCGCTCCAACATGACATTGTGTGTGTGTGAAAGATGTAGCACGCTTTTGATCCTTTGGGGGGAGGGGGTGCGTAGAGGATAGGTAAAACTCAATCAAATCTGAATATTACTATTTGTCCTTTAGGTGCTATTTGTTTCATTCTGTGTATTCTGGGATTCACCATGGTAACATATTCTGGATCTTACTGGTTCGAGTTGATCGATGCTTACTGCTCGGGAATACCTCTGCTGATCATCGCCTTGGTTGAATGTATAGCGATATCATTTATCTATGGCATTGACAGGTAAGTTGAACACTGAAGTCATTAGGGTTGAAAAAACTTTTGAATTTTATCCATATCCTGATACAACCTCTGCATTAGGCTGATGGGCGAGATAAAATATTTGAAATAAAACGCTTGCACTGATTGGGTGGATAAAATATTTGAGATATAACGCGCGCACTGATTGGCTGGGTAAAATATTTGAGATATAACAAGAGCGCTGATTGGCTGATTACCGTGATTATATCACAGGATCGTTCAAACATATTTTATAACAGCAATATTTCTCGCGCATGTCTCTGTACTGTGATATAAACACGTTGGTAGCTGTAGAGCATGAGAGAAGCAAGAGAAACTCCCAGCTACTTCTCGTGTTCCAAAGCTTATTTATTATGATCTACAGTGTGTTTATATCACAGTACAGAGACATGTGCGCGTGTTTTGTATTCCTTAAACACAAATATACATTCTAGTTCATATGCTTCTACTTCTTGTTAATATATTACAGTACCGAGTGCACGCTTTTGGTATTCCTTAAATATTAAAACGTATTCAAACAAACTTCTGTCGTTCCTAGGTTTAGTGAGGATATTCACTACATGACCAACAAGCCGCCTCGGTTTATATGGAAGTGGTGTTGGAAAGTCATCTCTCCTCTGGCTATTTTAGCAGTGCTAAGCATGAGTATTAAAGGAATGTCTGAAACTACTCCATCTTATTCCATATGGGACGCCGAAAAGGTGCGTATGTATTTATTCAAAGTGCCTTTACCACCTATCTCAATATTTTCAGTATTGATTCTACATAAAGTGAATATTTGAATGGTAAAAAATATTTCATATGATTTGAGTGATTAGTGTTGCAATTTAAAAACGATGAGAAGCAAACTCAAATTCCTAAAAGGAAATCACACTCATTAACTTATTGAAAATATAATCATTGATATCTCCAATATGTATCTCTCAAATCATATGAAATTCTTTTAGAGTGAAGTCATTAAACCCGTGAAATAGATATTAGACTAATACACTTTAGTAGACCCTAATTCCATTGTTTTCTTTTGTGTCTATTTGACTATTACACGTTGACTAATAATTTTTATTTCACGGGTTAAATGCCTCTACTCTACCATTCAAATATTCACTTTATGTAGAATCAATACTGAAAATATTAAGTTACGTGGTATAGGCACTGTAAGATTTAGACCATAAGGCATCTTGGGCTATTGATTCGTAGACCATCAGGGCGAGAGGGCTAATTGCTTTAATCTCAACCTACTAATAGGTCGAACAAATGGATTATAAAAACTAGGAACACGCGAGTTAGCTGCCATCGTTTTGGTTTTCAAAACTGACACCTTTCGTTAGTATTTAGGAACAAAGGTAGCTCAGTTGGTTAGTGCGCGGCCTTCAGAGCTAGAGGTCCATAGTTCAATCCTCAGGATCTCCACGTCTTTTTCGACTTCTCTCTGTTCTGTGTAGCTTTAGCTCTAAATACCCGTATTGCCCTATAGGTTGCTATCAATAGACGTCACTTCCGGTAATAGCTCT